CCAGAGTTCAGGCCCCACGACCGGACCCAAAAAAAAAGAAGAAGAAGAAGAAGAATGATACCTCCTATAATCCTAGCTACTCAGGAGGCTCAGGATCACAGTTCAAAGCAGCCCGGGCAGGAAAGTCCATGAGACTCTTCATCTCTAATTAAACACCCAAAAGCCAGACATGGAGCTGTGGTTCAAGTGGTAGAACATTAGCCTTGAGCAAAAAAGCTCAGGGACAGTACCCAGGTCCTGAGTTCAAGCCCTGGGACCGGCACCAAAAACAAAAACAACAAAATGCTATTTGCTTTGAATGTTTTTTTTAGATAACTTTATTTAAAATCAAGAGATTTCCCTTAGACTTTGATTTCTAAAACAAAGATAATCCAGTCTTTTGAGATCTTGAAATACAAGGTGCTTTGTGATTTATAGAGAGCTATGTAAAAATATTGATGATTGTGTTTTCTTTAAATTCTTTAAAACATAATGCAGGCCTGGGCCCTTCCTTCCTCTCTGCCCAGCTCTCATCCTCTGTGGTTTGTGGTTTCAGTTGTTTCTTTGACCGTCAAGATCCGCAGTTTGGAAGAACATATGCAGAAACACCAAAAGGTAAACCCTGGGTATCACTCATAGCTACATAGTAGCAGTCTAAAGCAGATAAGTTAGAAATGGGTCTCTGGGTCCTAAGAAGCCAGTACCCGCCCTTCAACTGCATTGGAGAAAAACATTGCCCTCCCACCTCTACAGGAGCCATAGGAGCCTGCCAGGGCTCTGCTGATTGTCACCAGTGATTAAGAACACACCGTTCAGAGCATGGTCACCATCTCTGATACATATTGGGTGACTAATAAATGTTTATTGACTGCATCAATGGAATCAGATTGCCCTATTCAAAACCCAGCTCTGCCTTCAACTTAACAAGCTGTGTGACTTTGGGGAAGTTATAGGCCTAAGTCTTAGTTCTTTGAACTGTAAGGTGTGGATCATAAGAGAACCTGCCCACAGAATTGCAAGACTTACACGGAATAATAAAAGCCCATAACCCAATGCATAGACAGTCTTTAGACCCATGCTGAATGCTTTACATGCACCATCGCTGTACATGTACCATCGCTTTACATGCACCATCTCATGTAACCCTGTTTCTTCAAGAGGACCAGTCTAGTTGTGCAGTGATGAAGTTACTTCTCAACCTGCTGCTAGAAGTGATGGCTAAGACTTGAAATGAGGCAGTCTTGCCACAGGACCCATATTCTTTTTCCTTTTTTGGTACTAGGAATGAACCTAGGGCCTTTTTGTTGTTGTTGTTGTTAATCAACTTTTACACTCCCAGCTCCATAATACCCATATTCTTTTTTTTTTTTTTTTTTGCTTTTTTTTTTCTTTTTTGCTTATGTGGTGGAATCGAACCCAGGGCCTCTGGCATGCAAGGCAAGCACTTTACCACTGAGCCACCTTCCCAGCCCCCATAATACCCATATTCTTAACCATTATGCCACATCTGCCCAGAACATTTGGCACAGAGATACAGCTCCACTTCAGGCTTTTTCTGTTTATGTGGTACTGAAGAATCAAACCCAGGGCTTTATGCATGTTAGGCAAGCATTCTACCACTGAGCCACATTCCCAGCCCTTATGGTTTTATATGCATAAATATACATGGTAATGAATACAGACTGATTCGATGCCATGCCTGGTACACCTCCCCTAAAATGGTCAATCATGTACCTTGGAGATCACAGTTTTGTTTATTTGGATATGGAACCACAGCCTCAATATAGAGGTCCCTCATAGAGCAGCATCTAGCACAGACCCCCACTCCACCCACCTCACCCCCAACTGACAGTTTGCTAAGCTGTGGGTAGGATAGGGAAAGACAACTAGACTTGGCGTCAGGTAGGAGACCCAATTTCAAGACCCATCTCAGCACCCTCAGTTCTATGGAGCATTTGTGACTCAGATAATATCTTTGAACCTTTATTTTCCCATCTGTAAAATGTAAAGAATGACAATAGCACTTTCAGAATTATGCAAATTTTCATAAGGTTTCAATGAAATTAAAAGAATAAACATGCTTTTTTCTGTAAACAGCAGCAGTACTCATTTATAGAATATTAAAATACAGACTATTAAAATACAGGACAAAGCCCAAAAGCGCCATCTCCTCATGAGCACTGCCAAGAGGAAAAAAATGCTCAAAAATCTCCGTAAGATCAACTATGATGTCTTTGAGAAGATATGCAAGGAGCTGGGAATTGAATATACCATTACCCCTCTGTACTGCCGAAAAGCCCATCGCCGCCTCTTGATCAAAAAGGCTCTGTGCCTTAGGGTATGAGACTACATGGGTGCTTTGGTCAGCTTCACTGTAGACTGTGGGGTGGGGGGAGGGGAGTTTGAAGGAAGGGACATCTGATTCTGACAGATGCCTGGAACTAACACTAGAGAGGTCACAGGCCACTGACCCCTTGAAAATGGACTGGGGGGAGATAAGTTTCCACCAACCTGCTCTAATAAGGTTTCCCCTTTCAACCTCCAGGTCTTTCAGGAGAAGCAAAAGCTTAAGAAGCAAAAAAAGGCCTTAAAAGCTGCAGCTGCAGCAGCCCAAAAACAAGAAAAACAGGGAATTCCAGAGAGCCCTTCCAAAACCTGACCAGAGACATGCAGAGAAAACCAATAAAGTCTGTTTCAATTACTTGTGTCTGCCTTGCAGAGTGATAGGAGAAACTATGGTGTTCTTTTTGGGTTGAGAGAAGGGGAGGAATTGATTCATTCAGCCCAGGGATCTCAGAATTGTCTGGAACACAAAGCCTGCCCTTACCCCACTGAATAGTCACTCATACTCTACCACCTGCCATCCAGATGGCATGTGTTTCAGTGGAGGCAAGGCTGAGTACCACAACGTGGTGGAAGAGTGGCTGCTTGGTAGAAAGGCCAGCTGTACGAGCCGCCTTCTAATGAATAGAAATTCACTGGAAAAAGGAAGGGGCAACATCTAGGAAGAAGGAATTGCACGTATAAAGGCAAAGAAATCTAGAGGCACATGCTATATTCAGGGAGAAGTAGAAACTTGAAGCTGTAGTGGATGTGCAGTACTTTATATGCTAGGCTGAAGAGCTTGCACACTGGTCTATAGGGAAAGGAGAGATGGTTGAAAGTTTTAACAGCCGGGCGCCAGTGGCTCATGCTTGTAATCCTAGCTACACAGGAGGCTGAGATCTGAGGATGGATTTTCAAAGCCAGCCCAGGCAGGAAAGTCTGTGAGACTCTTTATCTCCAGTAAACCACCAGAAAACCAGAAATAGCACAGTGGCTCGAGTGATAGAGCGCTCGCCTTGAGCTGAAGAGCTGAGGACAGCACCCAGGCCGAGTTCAAAAAAAAAACACCATAGGAGTGGGGCTAAAAGCTTGTCTATTTAGATGGTTAAGCAGAGGCCATGTTGAAGGGAACTGGGAGCAATGATCAAAATAATATTTTTGGAGGTAAGGGTTTTCGTTGTTCACACTGAGAAACTTTTAAAATAAGTAGCAGGTACATGTGGCGTACTAGCTGCTCAGGAGGCTTAGCTCAGATTTGTGGATTTGAAGCCAGCCCAGACAAATAAATCCAAATCTGAGACCCTTGCCTCCAATAAACAAGCAAAAAGCCAGAAGTAGAGGCATGGCTCATAGCAAAAAAAAAGTTGAGCAAGAGTGCCAAGCCCTAAGTTCAAAGTCCAAGTCCTATCCCTGTGAAAATACATAAGGACTGCTTATAAGTTCTAGGGGTACAGATACTCCCCATAAAACCCACCTAAGCATACTAGATATGTCTGAAGAATCCATGGAAGACACCTGTCTAAAACTAAGCAAGCAAAATGAAGAGCAGGAAGAGAAGACCAGAATGATAGGCAGACAAACTGGTGACACACAGCCTTCTAATTATGTACTGCTCAAGCAGCAGTAGCAACAAACTAAACAGTTTCAGGCATGACTCAGAGGGCTTGCTCAGCATGTGTAAGGCCCTGGGTTCCATCCTCAGCAGCGCTAAAGAGAAATTTTTTATCTCCATTCTAGAAGCTATGAAGTTCAAGATGAACATCAATTCAGTTTCTAGAGAGGGCTCTCTTCCTAGCAAAGGCCATCTTATATGTCTTTCACATGGAGTATGGATTTGCTGAGGCACTGCTTCAAGTACACTTTGCTTATGGGAAATATATAGCACATGGGCCATATGAAGCCATGAAACCATTTGCCTGGCCCTGCAAGGCAATCTCAGGTGGGACTCAACATTCAATAGATTAGAAGCAACATAAATAATTAAGTGTATGCCAGGCATCAGTGGTCCACGCCTGTAGCCCTAGCTACTTAGGCTGAAATCAGCCAGCCCAAGCAAGAAAATTTGTGAAACTCTTCTCCAAAAAAGCTGAAGTGAAGCTGTGATTCAAGTGATAAAGCACTAGCTTTGAGGGAAAAAAAAAGCCCAGGGACAGTGCTCAGGTCTTGAGTTCAAGCTCCAGAACTGGCAAAAATAAATAAGTGAATTATACATATGCTTCCCTTGGATTGCCCAGAGCCCATCTGCCTGCATTGTGGTGACTCAGAGGACAGTCACTGCTAGGCAGGCTGGGAGTGTACAAGTTGCAAAAGTATTAACTGGTGATGATAAGATGCAATGAAGTTAATGATTTCTCACAAAATTGATGAGCTTGCCACTGAGTACTGACAGCAATGCCATCAACTTGTCAACACAGACAACTCCAAGCTTTAGCCACACATTCATTGAATGAAGATTAAGAAAATTATAGTACACAGAAAAGACCTCAAGATCCAAGGACATAAACAATTATATGTTCCAATTCCAAGATGCAGAATTAGAACTACAAGCAAAGGAAAATGATCCTGTCACTGGTGACACACATACTGGATCATTAGTGAAATTTAAGTGTTACAACATTTTATGAATGGTCAACTACAAAGAAAAGTAGAATGTCAGCTTTTCTTTTTTTTTTTTTGGGGGGGGGGGGTCCTGTCGTGGGGCCTGAATTCTGGGCCTGGGTGCTGTCCCTCAGCTCTTCAGCTCAAGGCTAGCGCTCTACCACTTGAGCCACAACATCACTTCTGGCTTTTTTTCTTTTTGCTTATATGGTGCTGAGGAATCAAACCCAGGGCCTCAGGAATGCAAGGCAAGCGCTCTACCACTGAGCCACATTCCCAGCCTGTCAGCTTTTCAAGAGAAATGGACAAGTGAATTTTTTTTTTGGTTAATATTTAAGTCAAGCCTCTGTGCCTCATTTGTGGCTAGGTGTTAGCAGCCAACAACAACAACAAAAGCTAATCTGGAGTATTATTACAACTCAAAACATACTGAACTCAGTGAATTGGAAGGCCAGATAGATAAAAATCAATGTACTTTTGCAAAGTTTGTTATCACAAGCCAGACTAAAGTGCCTGTTAACCTACAACTTGAAATCATTCAGCTGCAGTGCTATCATAAGCTGAAAGCTAGGTACAACTTCTCACTGCTATTTCTCTGTAAATGTTACATATGCAATGATGAAATTCTCACTTTGAGGGGACATGCATCTGTACTCAACAACTTATGGCTGCAAGCAGTTCTTTTCAAAACTCACTATCAAAAAGTCAACTATGTTCCAGAATGACCAACAGAAAACTAAACAAGCAGTTGAGTGTATCAACATCAATACACAGCTAACAGCACATTCCTCACCAAAAAGCAATTCGGTTAATATTTGACCAAATATAGCAGCCTTTTTTTTTTTTGTCAGTCATGGGTCTTGAACTCTGGGCTTGGGCACTGTCCCTCAACTCTTCAAGGCTAGTGCTATACCACTTGAGCCACTGTGCCACTTCCAGTTTTCTGAGTGGTTAATTGGAGATAAGAGTCTCACGGACTTTCCAGCCCGGGCTGGCTTTGAACCGCGATCCTCAGATCTCAGCCTCTTGAGTAGCTAGGATTACAGGCGTGAGCCACGGGCACCCGTCTAGCATCCTAATTTTTAAGTGACTAATTTAGCATGGCCCAAGAATGATGTTTTATATGGAAAATACCCTTGGCAGAAAAAAGATTTCCCACCTCTGCTTTAAGGAGAAGATGCGAAAGATTAAAGGACACCCCTTCATTACCCTATTTAACTGAATGGTTGGTTGTCATTTACGGAATACTTTCTCAATCTGATTAATCAGAGCAACCCTGTGAGGTGGCCGTTGCTTCATTTCACAGAGAAGTGGCCCAGGTTCACAAACCTGCCCAAGGTCACAGCCAGGGACGGGGAATGGGGAGTCCTACCAAGGTCTGTCTGACCCGAGCTGGCTCCCCAGTTTCGCTGGGGCTTCCTCGCTCACAAGCTAGAGGGCCAGGCGGATGAGAGGCTTCCGTGCCAGAGCCAGGGCTGGCTGGGGCTGGCTGTGCCCACAAATCCACCTGCAGACCTTACCCAGGTGGCTTGTTCAACCTCCCAGGATAGGCAAAGCTGCAGAACTCAAAACCCTTCCACGTCTGCAGCGGACCAATCCCCTGAGGCTAGCTCTTCCAAATAGCCCAATAAGCATCCGGCCTTTAAGGCACCTCCTACCAAACCTCTCTCTGATTGGCTCGCCTTTACTATTGTGGCATTGCCCTAGCAACCCGGCAGGGACGCGGTGCGGCCTCCAGGCCACAGGCTTGGGAGTCTTAGGGCGCTTTACCTGTCCTGCTGGCTCCCAGCACCATGTCGGTGAGGACGTTACCGCTGCTCTTCTTGAACCTGGGCGGGGAGATGCTTTACGTCCTGGACCAGCGCCTGCGGGCCCAGAACATCCCGGGAGACAAGGCCCGCAAGGGTAAGAGGAGTCTGGTCTTCACAGCCAGACCTGCACCCTTCAGTCCCACCCTCACCTCCCTAATACCCTTCGCCAGACCCTCCCTCTCACAGCCCGGTCCCCGCTCCTCCATTCACACTTACAGACAGACCCTTCACCACCACCCCTCACGGCTGCGGGTGAAACACCCAACAGCCACAACAACCCCTCTGCATTTCACTCATAGCCAGAGGGCCTTTCTCGCAAGATGCAGTTCCCGTGCAGTTGAAGAACCTCTAGAGTCAATTTTTCCCCAAAAGGCCCTTTCCCAGCAGAAACACTTAACACCCCATTGGCTAGAGAATCTGATCGCTCAATTTCCCGTCTCTTCAAATGGAAGAGATTATTTCCCAATCTCTCTTGAAAATCGGTCCCTTCCAAAAGTGGAATCCCAGCCGCATACCACCCAGCAACATACTCTTTGCTAGTCCAAGCATCCTTTACCCACGTGAAACAGCTTCTGATTCTCCATTCCTGTACCATAATATCCTCCTACACAAGCTGGAGACAATTCTTTCTCATTTCAGAAGTTGTTTCTAGAAATACAGGTTCTGAAATAATACAGATAAGTTAAAACAAAAATAAAAACCTTGTCTTTCGTTTTACAAGTGTTGGAAGGGAATTGTGAAACTATTATAGAAGAGCAAAATCTGGTTCCCATGCACAGCATATGCAAGCCACACAAAATAACCACCCAAAACACCACCACTCTTTTCCTTCCTTCTCAGCAAACAACTGCTTTTGCCAAATTACCTGGGTCTAAATATGAAGGAAATACTGTATTTTAAAGATAGAGGAAGAAAAGTTGATATAAAGGCAATTTACATGGCCACTATTTGTTCCCTCCCACAGTCT